ACCATGTATGAGAGTGGTGTTATTGTTAAATATTTAGCACGTACAGTCGTGTAGTGAATACCTAAAATGTGTGTTACCAACTCTCCAAATTTCAGTGGACAATTTACAAGATGCAAATCCTGTTTCACTCACAAATACATCGTTTGCAGTTCACGTAACGTGGCAAATGTTATGATGACAATGATGAAGAACTTGATCATACGTGCAGAAGGCCAAGCTCATAAAATATGGGACAAGGCAAGGGATAATTACGACAATAATGCTTATGATGGGGTGATAATGTTGATCATTATGGAGATAACAATGATTGAGCTGCTATTGCTGCTGATAATAACAACGATATGATGAAGCTAAACACGTGATATTAATTAATGGTGATGTTCTAGATAGTGCTCATATGGTTGCTGACTTTAACGAGGATAACAACGACGAGTAGAATAGTAATTATGATTGTGATGATACGTGGCTTGGGAACAACATACAGCAGATGGGCTGTTGGTGGTGGCAATGATTAAAAAACACAGGATGGGACAAACACATAGGTGGGATACAATCCGATATTTAAAAAAAACGTTCACGCTTTGCTTGTTAACGATATCGACGGCAGATCTTAGAACTCGAAAGGATTTTTTAAGGGTCCGGCGATCTGTTCCACATTGTCGAGCGGGTGCATTGTGGGTGAGTGTCGGGGCTTGCGAGGCAGAATCTCGGGTTTGGGAGGCAGTCACGGAAACAGGGAAGGTTGCCCGGAATATGTTCTGGCCCTGGTCAAACATTTGATTCACTGTGACCTTAATGTTGATCGCGGTGAAACTAATGAAGTTGACTATGGTTACAGATAATAACTCAGAAATGGCGTTTGCTTTAATTTGTTAATGGTTTAAACATGACCATAGCAAATCAATTACACCATACTGTATATAGATGGAGCAGTGTGCGAGGTGAGTGGGTAGGTCAGGGGATTGATGCCCAACTCACAGGACTGAGCCAGTTCCACTGGATCCAGATTGACTTCTGGAAACTACATTGTGATCAAATTAAAATCTCAAATTCCGTTCTTAACAATCCAATGTATGTTTGTGGTTGTTGATTTCCTAAGCTCGTGAAAGAAATCCAAACGGATTCGCTCATCAGGATGACATTGTAATGGCTCGCGTCAACAATTTATAACGTAACGGGGAAGTGCTATAATCTGCAATTTCATCATTGGACGAGGTATCAAAGGGGAAATTGCAGACCCGATAAGTTGACAAGTATTTGTCTAAAATATGCAGCCTGTCACCTGACCCACGGCATTCTCTTAGTTACGTTTTGTCGCGACTATATATATGTTTACTTTCAATGAAAACAAATACTGTAATTATAGTTGGTATTAATATTAAACATGCGGCCTCACTCACCTCTTTTTCATTCGGAGCAGCGAGGTGAGTACCAGCACAGTCCCTGAAGGCCCACGGTCTCAGACCATCTGCTGCCATTCGGCCATCTGGTAAAACTGGTGTGCGACATGACAGTATCGAGCGCGGACTTCTAACCAGTCGCAAAGAAGCCGCGGTCAGATGTTGATTCTTTAAAAAAACAATGCATCATCTCTCACGCGGACACATTTGAACGATGTGTCCATTAGCGGTGACTGCATCCACGATAAACATAGCGCTTAAGAGTCTGCGGCAAAATTGAGCTGCTCCGTAATACTACTGGGTGATTCCGCATCCATCTCGCCTCTCCTGCTGCAATGAGATCGACACAATGAACGGTGCTTTTTGATGAGAAGAGTGGACTTTTCCAGATTTCGTTTAATCGCTTATTAACACAGCGAATTGTCCGACGGTGTAACGTACAGGAAACCACATGGTGGCTTCATTTGTGACTGCGAACATTAATTTCTAATCATCTCCGTTGGCTGTCCATCCTTGAAGGTCAGTGGACAACGACAAGAATGATGTGTCCATTGGTCACCTTGCATCGTAGGATTCCCAAGTAAGATGATTTTGTATACGAGTCGTCATCGTCATGACTCTTTATCCATGCCGTACTCTATCCACTGCTGGAGTTAGGCCTTCCCAGTGCCCGTCACCATCTCTCGCGGCCATGTGATGCAGTAACCAATCTGGCTGCGGCACATGAGCCGATATTATTCCTCAATCTCTTCAGTCGCGGTCCTCTGGAGCATTGTTCGCTCCTCTGACTGCCACTCTGTTGTCAGTCTCCACCCCCGGTCACCGTCCCTACGAGCGATGCACCCTGCCCACGTTCGCTTACCTTTCCTAATTAGTCAATGCGATGTCTCTAATTTGCATTAGTTTTCTGATCCATGTGCTACTCGTTGTGCGTATCAGTGTGATTCCAATCACACATCTCTCGTGCTTCCTTGCACACTATTCAGGTGTTGTTCATTATAGTAAAAATATAGCAGTTTTTAAAACACACAAATGAATTCGAAGCCAATTTTCTGCAAATATATAGTCCAATTAGTTGTTCAGTATGTGATCAGAGTAAAGATATGATCGCATATGATTCTATGCCAAACCGATCAGATCACTCAATTTGCTCAAATTGGAAACAATTGGATTGGATCTGATCCTGAACCAAACCAATAATGTATTTCTATCTCCCACTATACCAACCAGCCCCAATCCCCCCAAAGAGATTATTGGTTGATTTGATCATTTAAGCTTAAAATTCAATGGAATTGATTCAGAAATTAAAAGCTTATCTGGCGCCTAATTACATAATTGTATGTATGGTGTGGAGAGCAATGTCCTTAGGTGCGATTATAAACCATGACAATAACCGATGTGGCAAAAACACAACTGACATGTTTGGTTTATGGTAGACAGATTAAAATGTGTTATGAAGTCAGGATAATGCAGACGTAAAGGAATTAAGATCTATTATATTGTTCAGAGGAGATGAAATCATTACCATAATAACATTTATAATGATGACATCAGGGATATTATAAATATAAAATGTGTGTAGTATTTTATTCAACAAGCTGGACCAACATGACATGAATACACAATCATATTATTATTTTCCTTTACGAGCACATGGACTGTATTAAAACTAAAACCCTGCACGAATCTGCATACAAAATAAAATAGGGGGCAAAACAGAATAGGGAGCTTTTGGGGGGGGGGAAGCATAGCAGCTGAAAGGATGGGTTTAAAAGCAACAGCAAGGGAGCCAGAGAGAGAGAGAGAGAGCGAGCACACACGAGCATGCAGGAGAGAGAAAGCCACTGCCGGGGCCACGATAAGGGCCTCCGCACAGAGCCAGACGTCAATCGATTAAAGCCTGCGCATGGGAGCGGAATAATTGGCTCGAGTCCCTGTCGGAGGCGGTAATCGAATCTGAAAATTACGAGCGACCCGAGGACAGGACACGGATGCTCCCCCTCCGCCCCCTTTTCTCCATGTGGGTTAGCTATCTGCTGGGATAAAAACAAAAAAAAAACAGTTTTTTGATCCACAGGCCACGCGCGATGCCCGGTGTGCCCCGAAATGCAGCGCGCAAAAACTCAGCTTTAGCGGTAAAAGTAATGAATAGTAATGAGCCATAGGTGGCTTTTTTTAAAGCTCACAATATGGCAGTTATTTTGCATATCCGATTTGATCCTTTTTACCCAAAATAAGGTGGCACTTTTTGGGCCTGCTGTTACCTCATAGTATTTCGTTAATAATAATAAAAAATACGCGATATATGTCAAAGTATTCATTTCAAATTGCTGCGTGAATTAAAAAGCGTTAAATGTGAACACCGCACTTGCAATTCCTCGTAAATATACCGACCCGGCTTCCAATCCAGAGTTGTCCCTCAAGGCAAAACAAAATTCCCATTAAAAAAATGTGTCATCCAGTGCGGCGTATTTTGGGACGGGGTTTATAAATTACGTGGCGTGGTGGACATCGCAAATCGCTCATATCTCTGCATGGAATAGAGCGAGGAACAAGCAGTCTGTCGTTTGCAAAGAGCAAGGAGGGTGGAGGAGCAATTGTAGAAGACATCTCAAGTAAACCACCGAGAGAGGATCTTCTCTGCCAGGGTCGTTTCCCGGAGCAGTGGCACCCTCGCCCACATCACCGCCTGGGTGGAGAGAATTCTAGAAATGGCAATCTTGTCGCGTGTCTCGATGCCAATGAGCAGTCGACGCCGATGGCAGTGGGAATTTGGCAGCGGGTTGGACTATCACCTTGCATGTGCAGACTAAAACGTGTCTGTATGTACGTGAAGCTGAAATAGCACGTAATGTACTACACTATTCACACAGATGGTTCGCTCGGTTGGGTTCAATGTCAAATCGAAGAGTTCAACGGGCGCGTTTTGCTTTCACGAAATATCGCAAAGCACGTACAATTTGATGGTTGTATAGCGTGCGGTGAATTTATTTCAACACGAAGGGGTGTTTATTTTTACGGACAATTTTTTTTTTAGACACGCAAACATTGTGTGGTTTTTTTTCTTCATAATTCTAGTTACGAAAAAAACCACAACCAACCTCCTCCATTGTGTAGCACGCATGCAAGATGTGTGTGGGTATAATAACGAAAACGCCAGCAATTGGCTGGGTTGTAATTAAACGCCCCGTAATACGCCACCAAGCCCGCTCATTCAGTTGCTGCAGTAGCGGCAGCGGCACCAGACGAGAGGATGGTGGTGGTGGTGGTTGTTGTGTCTGGCCACTCGTCGCCAGTGTATATTTCATCAGTCTCACGTGCTCCAAGGTGATTTACAGTACGCGGCAGACATTCGAATCCCCCCACCACCACCCACCACGAACAAAAGACAAAGATCCCCCGTATAGCCTTCGCAGACTTGCGGGGCAAGTGCTTTTAGCGAGCAGCACCACCAACCACTACGGCGCTCACCCCCCCCCCCTCTCTCTATCACCACCACCCACCCTACCCCCCACCACCAGCAGCATGTTGTGGCGGCCCCACGGGCACCCTATTTGCAGGAAAAGCGCATTAGCTGAGTCAACCGGCAGACTAATAACGGCGTCTGCACACCGAGTGACGCAGCCTGCAGAGGGCCAACCACAGCAAGGCGAACTGCACGAGATTTTATTCCGCTCTCCCTTCCCTCTTCCCACCCCCCCCGTGATACGAGCGGTGCGTGCCACAGCTATAAGATCACTACGACTGACTTCGCCTTCACCACCGCCACCACCACCACCACCACCAACCAACATCACCACCGCCAGCAGCACTCCTCAAGAGATATTTTATTGTTGGTCGGCCACCACCACCACCACCCCCCCTCTTCTTCACTCTTCTCTCTTCGTGTGTTTTTTTTTGCCCACCAATTAATAGTCAACTATTTGCCGGCCCGGAGCCTGCACAAGAATCCCAGGTGAGTGAGGATGCTGCTTGCAACCCTCTTTTTTTCCCTTCTGCATCACTTTGTCCGTTCTTCATTCTTTAATGATCCCATCGCTAAGGCGTCGTCCTTTGTGTTTAAACTACTGCTGCTTTGTTTTCTTGCGAGAGGTGTTAAACCGGGTGGTTTGCGGGACAGCACGATTTCACGTCGGTCGAATGTCATTTTATTTGTAATTCTGCAGAGCCGTACAAAGTGAGAGTTGTGCAGCCGTCTGTATGTCTGGGCGATACCACATCGACACATGCACAGACCACAGAAAACCTCAACGTTTCCGACATGATCCATTGTGAGGATTACGTCAATCACAATGAAACAAAATGTAGAATTAAGGAAATTGTTGAAAAGAACACCTTTGACAGCTGCGATCTTGCAAGACCCAAGGTGGTAATTAAACGTATCCTTTCCCCAGAGCTTCCTGCTTTGCCATTCAAATTGGGTAGACTCTGTAAATGAACAATGTTTGGCAATACAAAGTGGCCTTGTCAATTCTCCCGGTCCTCTGGCACGAGCTGGCCGAGGCATACTGGGCCCTTAGGGGGGAAGCCAGGCGGTGTTTCCAGGTAACACCGATATTAACACCTACGGCACCGAATTTGACTACCACTACTAACCCCTTCGATGAGCACGGATGGCTACGTACTGTGCGAAAGAAGTTCAACGTACGTACCAGGGTTAGGGGTTCGCCGTGGGAAAAAACCTCCTCCTGAAGATGTTGAAATAGTTACATAACAACTTGGACGTGGTGGTATTGTCTCAAATTGGTTTTTGAAAGCAAAAAACAAAGTACCCTTTTTGCATTCCACGCAAATGTATTCTTGTTATCATCATCCAACAACGACAATATTAATCAAGTTCTTCATTATAATTAGAGTCGTGAATAAGTTTGTGCACGTTGATGCAAGGGGATACGGTGCGTGCAGGTTATAGCAATTAGGCCATACACACAATTGCACTTAAGACTGCAAAGTGGAATTTATGTCACCGTGATTTATGTTTTTAAATGTAGAGATCCCAGCAAATAGCAACAACATAATATTCTATCATGATACATTTATTCTTAAATGAGCTGCAAAAGTATGCCAATTAGGAGTGATTATGCAGATTTTATAACCCCTGTAATAACTGAGAGATAATTGTAGAGGATTGTGTTGTAGCAAAATGTGAAAGTATGCAACTGAAATAATGTGCACCGCATGTTTAACTATCCACTGAAGTTTATGTAACAATTCTGCATCTCAAATATTTGCAATTTCAATGCATTGCAGTATACATACCGATTGTTCTGGGTAAAGTATTCCCATAATTGAAGCCTCTGGATTTCTGGAATAAAATGTTTACGGTTTAAAGTCTGATGATCATTATTAACAAGTAATATTCTGTTTACACGTGTGTGTGTTTGAACAACTTTATATATGATTGGGTTAATATCAAATTTCAGTTCTCCAGAACATAATACAGTCTGGGTCATGTTACATAACATACATGCGAGAATGCCTGTTTAATGTAAGATGTTTTACGTTTAGGGTTGAATGTTTTATTAAATTTGCTTGAATCACAGTGTTTCGATTTTGTATTGTGGGGGGAAATGTGTGATGTGTACAGTCCATTACAAACTACTCGATGAGTATAGAGAGATTGAAATTTAAAAAATACCATTTGCAGATTGTGGCTTATTGGACTACAAGTGTATTGATTAACATTTACTGCACGAATCACACACTGATTCTACCGATTGGTAACTACAAAAAAATATCGGTGTTCTTGCAAGGAGCCCGAAATATTTAATTGAGATCAGTCAACATTTTTGTTACAAAAACAAGACGACATTCCAAGGAATTTGACTGTAAAATATGTATGGTTCAACCGTGATAGAAAATTATAATACAAGCACCGCATAGCTTTTTCAGTTTATGCATCAATATGTCAAACACATTTTGACATCGCTGTGTTAAAATTGCTCTGTATCGGTGTTGTGTAGAAGAACTCCTAGGGAATGAACGCCGCCAGTCAGCAGTGGTCTAGCCACAGTGTTCTTCTTGTGTCTGGATTTTGTGAGAGAAAAAAAAGACAAATGCATACAGTACGGAGCGTCGTCACACGTGGTTGAGACGTGGATTTTTTTGTTGTTTGCTGTTCACATTGTCTCCCTCCGCCCGCACTTCGACAATGATGCTCATCAATTTTACCCGATCAGAACCTGATAAAAAAATATATTGCCGAATGGGGTTGAATTAATTAAATCACCTGTGCCCCGTTTTTCTAGCGATATGTCCTGTGGGGGTTAGCTGGGGCTCCTTCCTCCTTGAGTCTTAACCCCCCCCCCCACCCAGCATTTGTTGAGAGCTGCAAGAGGGTTTATGTAATACGGGCATCACTTTTCTGGCACATTTGAAATAAAAGCAGAAACCCTCATAATTTGCAAAGATGACTCAAATGAATTGATCATTAAGTCAATTTTGTTTTCGGCAATGCTATACGAGTTATTCATGTGCCTCACCCCCTCCAAATACCCCCTTCAACCCACACGAACAAGCATGGTGAAGTATGCCCAAACAGCACCCATAACTTGTCACGGCATCGGGAGGGGCCCTCATCCAGCAGTGGATTTAAAACGGCTGTGAATGTATTACTATTAATGCAATGATAGTTACAAGACAGCCAACTTATACAGAGGTTGTAGGTTAGTGTTCCACTACGTACAATGTACTTCGATATTAAATGTATTAAGTGCGTCCGAGAGGACGTATATCGAGGAGGTGGTGCAATGAAATCAGTTGGGGTGCAGGTGCTGGGTGGATTGTTGAATCGTAGGATCACGAGAAGAGGTAGCGGCTTTGGGAGGGCCTTCATCCAGCAGTGCAATGACCACGTCTGTCGATGATGAAGGGCACTGGAGCTGACTGGAATCGGCTGTAGTGACACCCACCTGTGCTAAGATTCAGCAGCAGCATCTGGAGTTGGTGTACTATAGAGAATATGTGGCACTTAATGTCAAGATACTGAGGTACACCTTCAATTATGGCTTTGTGAGTAAGCTAACCGCATTACCGCGTGTAACACGTGTATGCTTATGCGATGCTGAGCAAACGTACAGCTAAAAACCCATTTCAGAGGTAAACTATTGCCTGCAGTGTTACATTTTTGAGGCTTACGAACTTAATTTTTAGCCTTAAAATCTGGATTGAGAATTCAAATGAGGTAGAATTTAATTCAGTATTTAGGTAGACCTGTATAGTAGAGGAATTGTGTTTTAAATCTAAATCCACAAGTCAACAGCAGTTCATGGAATCTCTCCAGTACTTTGTTTGCTGTATATAGAAGTGGATTTAAGAGTTGGTGGAAAAGTAGTTCCCACCAATGTATACGTGAATAGCGATGGTCAAACCAGTAGGACGTCGTGACAATTTGTCCATTTTCACTCCTAATTTGGTATAACCTTTTCTCTTTCATAAACCTCATGGGGATCGCTTGTGTTGGCGAGTCGACTCCACAGAGATTGTCGCAGCACCAAAGCGAGTTTGCGGCTCATTCGCACGATCCCCCAGAGCTCCATTTGGTGGCTCTGTCCCAGGAGTTACTTTTACATTTTAACACAAGAATTAGTCCAGAGATGAAATCGTAACCTAGCCGTCGGTTAAGTACGGCAATTATTATGCACATCCTCGAAGAGTAATCTGTTTCAAGGCCACGTTCTGGTAGTTTAGTATAAAATTTTATGTATTTTGCTCCCTAATTATAGTTTCCTTCTGCACATGATTCCTAATTTTTACATATGCGTAGATTTGAACTATTGTGAGTGGCTTAGAGGTCACAGCGTTGCGCTGGCACTGCTGAGATCCTGGGTCCGAATCAAAGCAGCCACCCATGATTAAAGCGGCTTCTCAAGTCTACCAATGTTGATGGCCTTGGCCTGGTCAGTGAAAATCCCATCACCTAAAATGTTGTCTCACTAAATTTGGATAAATTCCATCTCTGGGAATTAAAACATATTGGCTTTCGCTGTCATGCGATGATCTCATAGCAGGATTTGGAGGAAAGTACAGCCCCTGCTGAGTAAATATAAAAAGGCCACCTGAAGGGCTTTTCAGAAGTTCTGAGAATATATTTTTGCAACCGTTATCTGTCACACGGGGTGGTCTGTTCTGGCAGATGTTTGGATGGATTATTTGCTTTATGACTTTACGTCAATAACTCGATGGAAATAAAATTGAGGAAAAAGATGGAAAAGGATATAATATTGCTGTCTAACTGATATAATAATGTAAACAAATGTATTTGGTTCTAAGTTTAAGAAACCAAACATAAGAGTGAGCAACTTATTAATACCAATTATATTCCAATGCCATAAAGAAAATAAATTATCGATTCGATGAGGTTTTGCAATTAAAATAGGAAACACAACCCAAAAACTATAAAACTAGGAGCGCTTTATTGGGAAAAACAAACGATGAAGACTTCCAAAAATACGACGATACAAGAGGAATGTAACAACAATGTGGGAAATTCCACAAAATGTCCTTTAAAATATTCTAGGAAAAGGGTTCGAGGAGAATACGAGAGGGAAACTCGAAGGGGTTGAGTCCTAATTAGAGAACACAGACAGAAAACAACCCAGCAGAAGGGACATTATTATGAATATAATGGTGCTCCTGATTGCACTGAATGACAACAGAACTTCAATAAATGACATACAAGCTCTTCTAGTATCAAACAGACAAATATTTACGTACGTGGTAAACGGACTGTTACATTAAGTTATATTGACAGCAGCATTCGCGGTTGATATGCCGAGTTCTGTCTTAAGTTATTCAGCAAATTCCTGCAGTTAATTTCCTTTGGTTGCTATCACGCCTCAGTCCACGGCAAATCTTGAGATTGTGAATCCTTTCTCCGTTCATGCTCATTCATTTATTTCTCTCTCCAGTACGATTTATAAAAACACATTTTCTTGGTTTGCCGTGTGTGACATT